GATGGGGTTTATCCTTGAGTCCACACGATCAAGTAACCCACTATATTTCAATTTTGAAAAATGATATATAATGTTATGTGATATTGTAAAATTATAATCATAATATATCATTATATGATTGTTTCTTTTTATTTAAAATCCACTAATAGATATATATATATATATATTTATTTATTTATTTATTTAATAGGACAATTATACATACACCCAAAAAATCAACATACATCTCAACACCCAAGGCTTATAAACAGTAAAATTACAAATTTACCCCTCCTCATTTTAGCCTTGGGTGTTGAGATGGGTGTTGATTTTTTTGGTGTATGTATAATTGTCCTATTTAATAACATATCATAATTATAAATTTACAATTATATGCAACATTATAACTATATATTATTGTTTCATTTTTCATCTTGCTCTTCCATTGATGTTATATATCTTGAATTTAAGACTTTTATTTCTACTGGATAAAATATCATTATTAGCCATAATGTGTCATGCATTTCATTTTTCACCTTGTTCTTCAATGCTATATATCTTAAATTGAGAACTTTTATTTCTGTTAGATAAAATATCATTATCAGCAATCTGGTGTAACACACTTAAAAGTTTTTAGTATTTGGTTTTAAGAAAACTGTTATACCCAACAGATTGACTATTTGGGTTTAGGAAATTGTTATACCCAAAAAATTGACTCGTAGAAGTAGTGGGACACATTGGGGACGGACAGTCAACAAGACGATGAAACAAAGGGATCCTAAACAGAGCATGAAGTCTCTGCTGGGCGCATCTTTCCTTAAACAAGAGAAATTCTACAAGATTATGAGTTTTACTAGAAATAAAATATAAAAATCTTTATAACCAGAACTGCAATTCTAAAAATATTATATAAGCCCAGTCTAAAAGGGAATCTTCTTTTTCTTGTTCAATCAACCATTTTAATTTTCTTTTATTCTATAAAAAAAAAAAAGGGTTCTCAGTTTAATCTATTTTTCACTATTAACATAAAGAAATGACTTTTATTGAAGGACAGTGGTAAATTGGCAATTCACTAATGAATTGGAATTTATAGTAGAATCCGTGTGCTGCTCCAATCCAAAATTCCCGGAGAAGAAACGTAAAAACACAATAGCGAAGGAATAAGTAAACAACCACCACCAACCCCTCTTAACAAGCTATCTGGTCTTCAAAATATCATGCTTGTGTGCATGGAAGAAGTCATGTGGGTTTCCCGAAAGATTGTATGTAAAAAGGTTACGTGAGGTATATTTTTTCGTTGAATAAAAATAAAAAGGAGCAATACGAGGACCTCAAAAGGTCACCAGTTTTAGCACTATTTTCATTCAAGTTGAACATTGAAGTTTTCAGAGTAACCATAATTAACAGGTTGTGTTTAACTAGATTTTTTTTTACTAAAATTTATATTGAACTAATTTTAAACAATTTATACTCTGATTGTTAAGTCTAAAAATTTAAAATCAATGATAAAAGTGAGTATAATTAAAAAAGATGATATAAAAACTTTTTATATTAAAATTTTAATAGTTTTAGATTTTTTAAAGTAATCTACTCACTTTTCAATTTCTACCAAATTATTTGTTTAGATAATTTTTAATTGTTAATTATTGAAATTAACAAAATAAAAATTAAGAAATTAAAAAATATTAAAAATATAGAAATAATATTTTAGTTAAAATCAAAAACAATTCAAATAATTATTGTTAAAAAATTAATCAAAATTGATAAAACCTAATTCTTTCAGCTTGGTTAATAATTGTTAAATTTAATAACAAAAAACTCAATTAATCAATAGCTTGATTTTGATATATTGTAATTGAAATTGAATCATGTCTATTTTTAAATGTAGGTATACCTAAATGCTGGTATATATGATCATCACACCTAAGGCATTGATTAAGGCCACGCGTTAAAAGTGTTACTGCATGCAAATTATTTTCTTTGTAAATAGTTAATTATAGTATTTGAAAATATTAATATATAAATTAATTTTAAATTTCTAAAATAAATATAAATAATTTTACTATATATTAATTTATTACTATAATTTTAGTTGTTTTTAGGTTAAAATCCCTTTTTGCTCTCTCTACTTTAATAAAAAAAATTTCACTTTTAGTTCTTCTAAAAGACCCCTTTTGATCCCTAAAATTTAAAATGAGTCCCTTTGTAGTCCCTCTATTTTTTTTTTTGCGTAAACATCATGTTAGATAACAGAAATTCAAAATAAATGAGCTAAAAGGGAGTTTTTTTAAAGTAGAGGGATTAAAAAGATATTTTTTTAAGTAGAGGAACCAAAAGGGGTTTTTTAGTTTCTTTTTAGTCCCTTTACTTTAGAATTTTTATCATTTAATATACTACATTTGCAAAAAATAATGGAAGGATTAAAAAGGAGTTGCATTTCAAACTTTAGGGACCAAAATGGGACTTTTTTAAGTAGAGGGACAAATTTTTTTTTATTAAAATAAAGGGGCTAAAAATGAGATTTTAACCTTATTTTTAACATCGAACTTACAAGAATTAATATTTTAAAAGATAATATTTAAGATTTCATGTGGTCCTAACAATTTATAGGAAAAGTGTATATTAGTTTAGAATCTAAAAATAAATTAGAGTTTTAATATTAAATTACGTTATTTTATTTAAGTAAAATTAAATTTAAAATTTAAAATTTTATTTTATTAAATAGTAATATTTAAATTTAAAAATCAATTGTATTAAAAAAATAATTAATTTTTAAATCTAAATATCAATATTTAATAAAATAAAATTTTAAATTTTAAATTAAAATTTTAATTTCTAAATAAAAATTAAAACTTTAATTAAAAAAAATTAAGAGTGACACACTAATTTCATAATAAATTATGTGGTTATAATTTGTGTTATACCTTCCTTAACCATGCCCTATCTCAACGTACATGCAGTGGTTATTACCACTCATATTTTTGTTAAAATCACATATTATGTGGCCATAATTACTGTACTATACCTCCCATAACCGTGCCTTATCC